GTGTTGACAGAACTTTAGCTTTGGTGTTGCACATATGCTCCATAATATATTTACATGTGAGTAACATTTCACATATATGGACACATATGTACCCAACATATTTCTTTAGTTGGTGTTATAGCCAATAATTTAGGTGAATGGTTGCAATGAGGAATAATGAACTTCAGTTTTGCTAATCTTAACCATAGTTCAGCTTTGGGAACTGTATTACCATGAAAATTTGGCAATATCAATGCTATCAAGCGTGAAAACTAACTGGATTTGGATCAGGGACTTTATTTATAGCATATTATAGCATTTATTTATTTATAGCATTTTCTTTAGGACTTATTAGTTTAAAAAGGGAGCTGTATATCTCATGGGTTCTTAAATATTAAATAGAGTCAGAAGTCATGTGTTCCCTTACAACAACAACAACAACAATATAAACAAAACTCAAAAAATCACAATTTTACATTAATTTTAATTTCCTTATATTATCCAAAGATGCTTGATGAAGTAATAGCAAACCCTATAAAGTTTTGAACCATACCATATAAACAGTGGGGTACAGATGTGACTAAGCCTTAATAATAGCTCACAGTTAATTAAAAGAGAAGTAAAAGATGACTCTATACTGACATGGAAAAAGTCACTGAGCCTTCACATATTGAATAAGCAAACATACTTGTGTTTTACCTGTTATTGTTCTCATGTTATTTTTTTAATGATCAAACTACTTTCTGTCTTTTGTTCATTTCATTCTCATTTTTTTGGTGAAATTGTCCTTATAGCCTGTTTTTGTCCCTAAATAATACCTGCAAGTTTAGGATCAGATGGGTCTGCTGTGAGTCAAAATATTGGGTTGGCCAAAAAGTGTGTTTGTTTTTTTCCATGAAATGGCTCTTAGTAGCACTTTAACTTCATTTGAAACAATTTTGTTAGATTATATTGTGACAGCTCTCATATCAGCATGACTTTTAAAAAATACTTAATCAAAATTGGTGAATTTTTGTGTAGCCATTTTAATATTGAAGATGGAAGAAAATAGGCAACATTTTCAACATACCATGCTTTATCATTTCAAGAAAGATAAAAATGCAACTGAAACACAAAAATAGATTTGTGCAGTGTATAGAGAAGGTGCTGTGACTGATTGAATGTGTCACATTTGTGAAGTTTTGTGCTGGAGATTTTGCACTGGATGATGCTCCACAGTCAGATAGACCAGTTGAAGTTGATAGCAATCAAATCAAGACATTAATTGAGAACAATCAACATTATGCCATGCGGGAGATAGCCCACATACTCAAAATATCCAAATCAATAAAGCTATTGGTGAAAATGAAAAATGTATCTTTTATTTTATGGAAAAAAGCCATAAGGACTTTTTGGCCACCCCAATAGTTACGAGAGGAACATCATCATGGTTCATTTTTTCCCCTGTTTTATTTGCAATCGATTTAGGAAATGAAAGTTTTTAGCAGTTTAATTCACTTCTCCATAAACTTTATGGAGCAGCAACAGCTGGTTGAATCCATGGCAGAAAAATCCAACTTCTAGTGGCCAAGCCATTGTTTTAGAATTAAGGAGCCGGGTGGGGTGGCGGGGGTGGGGGGGACTCATTAACTGTTAATGAAAACACAGGAAATAAAAACAAATAGCACAGAAACCCTAGCAAATAATTACCTTACACCTGACACAAAGCTGCTTTATCTTTCTGCTCCAACCCTAAGAAATTCCCAACTTATCACTCTGTGGAGCATGAATGAAATTGAGTTTGACTCTCAGGAAAGAACAATAGAGAAATATCCCCCTTATAGGCCCCTCAGCACAATACTCAGTGGAGAACCTGACATGGAATATACTAAAGGACTGTATCTAGCGCCCAATTCTTATGACACTTAGGATAGAAGAGCAAATTACCAGTTAGTAGCAGGCGAACCCTTCATATAGTTCCCCCAGATCTTGTTTAGAAATACAAAGAGAAGGGACTGCAGGTAGGGGATGTGATGGATGGAGATATTGTATGTTAGAATATGTATGTCTGCATAGAAATATATTGACTTTGAGTGAGTTGCAAAGGGAAAGTGTGTCTCCAGTGGCAAAGGTTCTTGCCTGTGAGAAAACCACTCTAAGCAAATGGAGTTCTCAGCCCTAATTGGAGAGCTGCTGTGTGGCAATGTCTGTCACTATAGTTTGTGATCATTTATATCTGATCCCACTGGACTATAGTAGTGGCCACTTGGAACTGCGACTATCAGAGCTGTAGATGAATCACTTGCAGTTATGTTTTAACAAAAAAAATGATGTTATAAACTTAAACAAATCCAAAATGACCATAGTAATTGCTGGTTCTTCTATGAAACTTTCACCCAAGCATCTTGAGTGGTTGTAATCATTTTAATTACACGGGAGTGCCTATTTACATGGTGTTAAAGACTTTTTTTTGGTGTGTGCCCAAGGGAGCTGTACCACTTGATATAACACTAAAAATACTTATAGCAACATTTCCATCATCAGGAACTAATTATGCTTGGATGTAAAACATATTTTCAAACATGTCCCCCACCATAATCATTTTTAGTACTGATCTTGGCTCTATTTTTGCTGTGTTGAGTTGTGTACCTTTGTTGTTATATGTTTTATGGGGGCATGGTCTTGTATTTGGCTGTTAAAAGCCCACCTTGGGTCACTATATTTAGAAACCACAGGAATCATGTGGAAGCAACTTTCCCATCTGAAGTTAAATCAGAAAATCAAGAAAATCAGATGCCAAATCCAGGCAGGTATCTTGGGTGAGACTTTAATAAACGGAAGCTCTAAATATATAATTGGAATAGATTCTGGAGCCAAAAAAAAAACGGACATTAATGGAAAAACTGGGAAATCCAGATAAAGTCTGCAGTTTAGTTGACTGCGATGTACCAATGTTAATTTCTTGGGTTTGGCAGATACACCCTACTTACATATCAAGTTAACATTTGGTAAAACTGGATGAAAGGTGTACAGGAATTCTCTATACTGTCTTTGAAATACTGCAATAAATCTAAAATTTTTCCAAAATAAAAAGTTCATTAAAAAAAACAAAGCAAAGTCCAACCTGATCCTCTTATTAAGAACAAACAAACAAAAAAAAAACTGGGATGCTAGAATGTGTGAGCGTAGATTTGTCAACTTTCTGAAGCAAGCAGAAAACTGTGAGTCTAAAAAGAGAAAAAGGAGCGATGGACATAGACAAGTGTGGTGATTGCTGGGGGGCAGGGATATAAGGGGACTAAATGGTAATGGAAGAAAAATACAGTAAAGATTAAAAAAGAAAACTGAGTCTAGAATGGCAGTTGATAAATCATGTCCAGTATATCCTACAAATGTTAAATGTTGCATGGCAACCCAAACTACTTCTTCTTCTTCTTTTTTTTTTTTTATAGAATTAGATTTGGCTCAAATTTTTTAAATTTAGCTTTAGCTTCACAGCTTACTTCCAGGTCCCCTGCCAGGCAGTATATTTAGATAGTGTTGATAATATAATTTCAGTGGCTTTGCAGCAGTGATGCAAAGTGTAAGTAGTTTTATCCTCAGTCCAGTGTTTGAAATTTTTTCTGGTTATAATGAAAATTTCATAGTGATTCTTTAAGCATAATCATAAGTTTAATATGCTGATCAATAACCTAGTAAAGAAGAGCATTTCTTGTGGCTCTGGCCAGCAACTATGTACGAAATGCTTTTCTTTTTCGTTTTACTTTTCTTCTCCACAAAACTCCACAGTTTATTTCTAAAATCCTATATCTGCAGGCGTTCTACTCAGTAATGGACATCTACCTGCCATTGATCATAGAAGAGTCTAGATATGATCATCTAATTTATGGAAAGAGAAGGCTACAGCCGTTCTCTTTTTATCATTTTATATCCTCCCTATCCTTCTAGTTTAATTGTAGGAAATAAACCTTTAAAGTGAGGCAATACAGATTCTATGTAGGTTGTTTGGTTTCACTGCTCCCTAGTTGAAATCCAGGGCCAAAATTCTACAGTGTTTACTGAGATTAGCATTGGTGATTTCCTTTGGAAATTAGTATTTGAGATAATATTAAATTCAGTTGAAAATCCCCTTTTCATGTTTGTGAAATGAACTGAGCAGCTGTTGGTATCCTTTTGTCAGCAGACTGTACCTCTGTTCAGGGGACTTTAAGGAAAGCCATTTGCAATGCAGAGCCTTTTCTTCCGGTTCCTGAATGAGCTAACATCTTCCATCTGAACCTTTTAAAGTATCATAATAGCATGGGCCACTTCTACAAAATATAATTCAATGTATGTTGAAAACACCCAAAAGAGATTAGCATTGTTTTAATTGCATAATTCAGTATTGTATATACATTACCTTTCATCAAAGCCATTTTACAGAACAAATATTACCTTCTTAGGGCTTTTAGAATTCCTAAGAGGTTGGTTGCATAGGCTGTAAACTAGAATTATAGAGAACTTTCTTAAGATTGCAAAACAAGTAGTGATTGAAATTGGAATAGAATCCAGCAAAGTCCAGGTTCTCTGTATTTTTACTTTTCTTATTTTTCAGACCAGAAAAGCATATTGACCTTGCTACATTATATTATGCATGGAATGTTAACCCTTTGTTTAATTTATTCTTTTTCATTTGGAAATTTAAAAAGAAGGAGGCATTCAGAGTAAAGGTCACAATTAATGGAAACATACTACATATGGATACATATTTTTATAGCTATCTTTTCATTTTAAATGTGAAGGAGAAGTTTCTCTTTGGTGGTAAGAGTCTCCCCACTCTAAGCCAACAGTTTCCAAGTTCTAGTTAGAGAGTAGATGAACGGAAAACTTCCCATCCAGGTAAATTGGCTTGAACTTATTTGTTTCTCATATGTTAATGGATAGTGGCCATGTCTGTCAAGTAAAAGCTGTATCTGTTTGTGTGAATACTAGAAGAAATATACAAAGACTTTTATAAAGGTGCCCAAAGTATGACCTTACTTTTTTCCTTTTTTGATTCTCAGGGGGAGACCAAGCTGAAAATTACCTTGGACAGGACAGCTCCGATGATAATCACAGTGGAACTCATGGCCCTTCTCTCACACCAGATGCGCTGTTTTTGCCAGATTATCAGGATGAAGGTGAGTGTCATTTTTTCTGGAGTTTTGGTCATCATACTTTGTTACTTTTTGTCCTGGTGCCTTTGCCCATTGTCATTTGACTCAAGCAGCCTTCAGTGGGTTCTCTGTATTGGTAATCACTAGTTTGCAAAACACAACTATTTGTTTCATTGCAGTGCTGGTCCTCCTGGGTAATTCAATACTTCTTCTGAAGTTAATGTATTTAGGAAAACACTAATTCCGTATTAGAGCAGGAAGACATCTTTATTGATCTTTTTATAAGAACTGTAACTCAAAAGCTAAGAGGGCATTTTAAGATTGCAGGACCCAATTTACCATTCTTACAGATTTTTGAGCTTCACTGAGTTGCATAGGAATTAGAGCTTTCATTTAAAGGTTATTGGATTATTGATTTATTATTGATTATCTGAAATTTTTAAGCTCATTATAAGATATCATCTTTGCCCATGCTTCTCACATACCCCTGACCATATTGGTATTGTTCAAGGGGAAGCCACAGGAACCATACTGCAAATCTTTCTGGAACATAATTTTACTTGAAGATTTAGGAATGAGAGGATTAAAATAATTCAGCTGTTATAAGTATTATTTTTATAATAAAACACATTGGTATGTAATAGGGTGGGATACTAAATATACAAGGATTTTTAAGATACATGAATATAAAAATTTTGGCTTGGTGGCTGCCGGTTTTTGGCTCAGACTCAGATACCCCAAGGGCAGGGGTTCACTGCGCCTCGTCTGGCACCTGGCCACTGAACAGAAGGTTTGATCATCACTGATGCACACGTTATCTTATCAAAGTCTCTCTTGTGCCTTTTGGGGCATTGGGGGGAGGTAGAGATGCTACTAAACTGAGTATTAAATTGGAAGCTTATTATTCACTTAGGAATTGAGAATAAAGTTGGTAAATTATTTCTTAGTTCTCTTTATCAGTCTATAACCTTTCAATTTATTTTTCTTCCAAATTTCCCTATGACTTTGGCATTTTCCGAGAGTTCTTAATCTCTGTATTCCCTTCTCTTTTTAATTTATCCATGAATTCTTATTTCATTTAGCCCTTTTGGTGATTGATTTTTCTCCCTTTCTTTGAATCGGTAACCTTCACATCGGAACTATGGATGCAATCACACAGAAACATTTCATTTTGCTTAAGCTTTGTACACTAGCACAATTAGTAAGACACAAGTTTTAGAAATTGGGCCTTGTAATGTGAGGTCTATATATTGGTTCAGGTATTACACTAAAAACATTGTTTGGATTGAAAGCTTAATAATTACAATGGTAGCTGATTAATAATTGTAGAAAATTAACAGTGCAAAGCAGTAAAACAAAACCATTCATTTGTTTTGATTAATCTAATGCTTGACAGAATTAGAACAATAGTACTTCATTAATCCATAAGTCACTTATTTGGTATTTCCAGCTCTCCCAAACACAGCTGAAAACACCGCAAATAAGCCAGAGATACCCCTAAGCAGAAATAAGTGTTCCTGTGTCCTGTGCTAACATTTATTTACTTTATTCTTGGGAGTGCCCTGGAGGCCTTCACTGGTGATTCCTCACCTTAGAAATTTCTAACCATTACAGTGTTTTGATTTCTTAGCCCACAATAGAGTAAAGCATCAAATTAGAAGAAGGGGTACTGTAAAGGAGTCAGCTGAGATACAATTAAATAATATTGAGGTAAGAAACAGGAAAACAATTAAAAATTTATATAGAAAACAACATTTATAATTAAAACAAAATTTTTATATAGAAATTTAAAAAAAAAGAAATTCAAAAACCAGCTCAAACTGTCCCCTAAGAGCTCAGTATCTTAATGAAGTGAAACTTTAGCTAGCACGTACTGAGCACTTACTGCCTACCTTGCATCTATATTCTAAGTACTTTGCATTTATTATCATTTAATCCTCAGAAAAGCCCCAAGAGGTGGATATTAGAATCATCTTCATTTTACAGATAAGGAAACTGATACCAAGGGAAGTTAACTTATCTAAGATCACCCAGCTAGTTAGCAGTAGCGCCATGGTTTATACTTACATGGTCTGGTTCTAGAACCTCTGCCCTTTATCACTCTGCTATCCTTACCGTTATCCTTACCTGAGTTGTCCAAAAATATGGATTCATGTTCCAGGTATTTTGGTTAAGACTGTACAGATACACATGGCATATTCAAAAAAGTTTTCAGTAAAAATAGCTGAAATTTAAAAAAATTTAGTGTTGAAATTTTCTTATTATCTGAAAAACACCAAAGTAGGTAACCTAGTTCTATAATGGTTTCCCATAACAGAGGTTTTAACTATATTAGTAATATTAAATTCTTTCTTAATAACTTTTTATTTTTAGTTCTGTGCATAAAAGTTAAAAGAATTCCCAAAGAGACACAGTCAATGATAGAGGTAAGAATAGGTTTGTTTATGTGTTAAAAATTTAATTGTAGAAAGATGAGATAATGTAAATATGAGTTTCTGCAGAGCATTGAATCTAGCATTGCCTGAGTGCTTGATGCATAATGAGCACAATTATGTTTTGTTTCCTACCCCTGAAAAGTAAGGATACATTTCCTATGAAATTAAAGAAGTTAGAAAGATATTAAAAATCTGCTTAACTAGATTTTACCACTATAGAGAACAGGAGCGCTTGATACTCATTCATTATTTTTACAAACACTATTTAGAAATTGTAAGGTAATAGCAAGACACTGTGGTAAACTATAAGTGAAACATGCAGTAAAAAGTCAGACATAGTCCCTGCCCTCATGGAGCTTACCATCTCATTGGGAAAGCACACTGTTAATAAATAGACAAATAAACAAACAAAGTCAGTGTCTTCAGTTGTGGGTGAGATAGCTAAGGCCATCCTTTCGGCAGGAAAAAAAAGATATTCTTTAGCTTTCTTTGAAGTGCCATTATTTTAGGCTTTTGGAAATTTATCTTTATTAGGAAATGAAAGGTCACTGTTAAAATATTTCAGCTTTGTTGCATTCTACCTCCAGCCAGAGCAGTGTCCTAAAGGTGCAATTATAAAAGGACACATGATCTGACCCATCCACCCATAACTTAAGTGACGAGAAGCAATAACCATGGTGCGTATCGTGTTTGGGGCATGCTTTTGTGAGAATTACAAAGAGATCTAGAAGCATATAAAACCTTGGCCATGTGCACAGTTTAAAAAAAAAGTAAAGAAAAAAGAAAACCAAGGTTACAGGCTAAACCATGCATAAAAATGACAGTATGATGCTACTTAGTCGCAATTCCATCTCTTTTTCCTTTGTAAATGCCCTCAATCTGAGAAGAGCAGGAGAGACAACCACAAACAAGCACATAACCCCGCCATTGGAAATGAAAACTTGCTAACAAGTAATAACATTTAAATTTCTAAACCTAGGAAGGCACACTTTCTACCGTATGAAGGAAAAAAATGTAATATGAAATACTGAATATAATAATTTTACAAGAGTCAGCCAACTACAAAGCCCAAGATCTAATTGCTTTCATGGTTCAAAATATACAATGGATATCAGTGCATCTATAAACTTACTTTATTAGTATAACAAATATCCCCTATACACATACCTTTTTTAAAAGATGGGATGGGGAAAGTGATCATTCTATAAATAGGGCATAGTGACTCCTTTTAGAAGAAAAAGAAAAAATATTTTATAAGAGATGAAACTTAAAATCTATGATAATGTATTATATATTATGTCCTATGTATTATTACATTTTAATTGAGGAAAATGGAATGAATGGATATTGGACAGATATTTGAGAAGTGGGAAAGAATGTTTTTAGAGCTTATTTTTATAGCAGGAAATTGAAGGTTTAGAGAAGTTCTTATTCTCCAGCAAAATGATAAATAGAACTGGAAATGTAAAGACCTGTAACCATCTTTGGAGAAGAGTAATAATGAATAAGTGAAGAGCCTGGTATGCTACTTGATTTAAAAGAAATTGCAAACTTGTTAAAGTACCAATAGTGGCCATTTTCAACTTTATGTCTTTTCTGAAAGGTACATTGAAAAGCATATAGAAAAATTTGAAAATAAAGAGAATAAGGTTTTTTTACAGCTTTATTTTTAGCCCCCCTACTTTTTTTCTTTTTCTTTTTCTCTTTTTCTTTCTTTCTTTTTTTTTTTTTTAATTTCTCTGCTTTCATTTGGTTCTGAAACAGAAGTCAGTTTTGGACTTAATATTGTGAATAATAATAGACTAGCTTTTGTTGATCATTGTGTGCTTTATTTCTATAATAATAGGAGGGATATTATTTTAATATCTTTTTAATGGGAGGAAGAATATACTTTAAACAAAACTATTTTAATATTGTGAAATAAAAATTAAGGTTTGACTTATTGATCAGATTTTGGACTGGAATTCATGTTTGTCTTAAATTTCATTGTACCAAAGTTAGAATTAGGGACTCTGGGAACCGGAAGGAATGATAGTCATCTAGTAACAGGAACCATTTATTGAGCATTTACTATGCTGTACAAAAGCTTTTTATTTAGAAGAAATTTTGTATTTGTGTTTTTTCTGGTTTTTGTTTTATTTTAGTTTCTAGGGATTTTTAAACTTGCTCTTTTATTTTGACTTCTAATTTTATTACATTATAAGCTAAGAACATAGTCTATATTATTTTGATTCTTCAGATTTTATTGAGACTTCTTTTGTGGCCTAGTAATGATCAGTTTATGCTTACGGGTTATGTGTGTTCCCAAAGTGTTTATATGCTCTTATTATTTTTAGACTTGTGAATAGTACTCTTCAGATCTCTTATATCCTAGTTTTTCTTTTACCTGCTGAAAGAATTGTGTTAAAAATCTCCTGTTACAGTGGTAGATTTATCCATTTTTTCCATGTTTGGTTTTACATTTTCAAGGTCATGTTATTAGATACTCATAAAGAGCTCCAATTGTTTTTAAAAGGTTTCCTCTCGCTGAGCTGGAATCCTATATTTAGAGTTTCCACTTAATAAGCTAGTTTTGCCATCCAGGTCTAC